AACTACGCAAGACCTTTTTTTTTTTTTTGACAAAATGTGGGTTTTCATTAGAAAACGGTGCTACATTGCAATCAAACCCTTTCTGGAAAACACCAGGTGTTAACAGGTATTTTGACTCATTTTTTTTAAGATTGACATATTTAGTTTTGACTTGTTAAAAATGAGTAGTTTTACTTTGCCAGCTTAGTTTTACTTTGCCGGCTTGAAAGATTTTTTTTTTTTGTTTAAAAGCTTAAAGTTAATCATAGCAAAATGTAACACAGGAAGTCAAAACACAAAATCAGACTGAAATGATCCAAAGTAAAAATTTCCATGGACTCCAGTATTCTTCGGGGCTTTAGTTCTGTGAAAACATTAGAGATGTTCTTTTTCTCCCAAAGAATCTCTTTCTGCTTGGACCAGCCTAGGAGAAGAAGGGAATCAAAAAGACGTGAAAATTACTCCCTGCCCCGCCGCGTAGGAGACGGCTGTTAAGAAGAGCAGCGGTCAGGGCAGCGGCTGGGCATCCCGGCTGCTGCTACGGGTGGGAACTTTTTTGTTAAATTGCCTGGGAGAAGACAAGTCGTAATGAAAATAAAGCAGCTAAATGCTGCTGCCCCTTCCATCACTCGCTGCCCAATTTAGTGGAAAGTTTGTTATTTAGTGCTGTGCTCGCGGTATCAAGCACCCAAGAGCAGAGTTTGCAGCTGGTCCTCAAACGGGAGCTGGAAAGGGTGCGATACGGCACTTGGCACAATTTTCCTGGACGCGCACCCGGGGTGTTGTGTCTGCTCGTTTCTCATCACTCACTTTAAAAAAAAAAAGGAAAGAGAGAGAAAAAGAAAGAGACAGATATCACTTGGCATTAGCACGTTAAGAAGAGTAATCCTATCTGCCACAAATCAGGTTACATTGACAAAATACAGGCGCTCCCCTTGCAACGTTGATCTTGGTCCGCCTCGCTGTATGCAGGCACAAGGCACCCCTCCTAGCCGTAACCCGGTCTGATTCAAGAATTTTTATGTTTTCCCCGTGTTTTGAACAAAAACAAAATTAGTGAAATGCTGGAATTTTAATAGCTTGTTTTTAAAGCAAAGCCACATAAATGACGCTGTTTTGTAGGAAAGACGCTTATATTTTACTGATTTTCCATGTATTTGAAATAAAATGAATTTAAGAACGTTGCTATCCCATTATAAAAGTCAGCCCTAAGCATCCAGGAGGTTCACAGCAGCGTCAGCTGCGGAGAGGGAAGTTCTCAACCTGCAGCCGCGTTTTATTGCAGAAACGGCCAATCCTGCCCAGAGCTACTCCGGTCCCCATTCGCAGCGGGAGAAAACGCCGCTGAAGCTTCTTCCCAACACTTTTGGGCATCTTCACCCTGCTACACTCTTCCTGTATCTTTTTAAAGAGGTTTTAACAGCTCCTCTGACATGAGGGACTGTGCACTTGCAGATCAGGCAATTAGGGCTGCAGCCACGGAAACCACCTCAAAATAAGCCAACCATAGAGGCGTACGCAAGGAAAACCTTAAAAGTTGACGAAAAGGGTGCGCCGCTGCACCCAGGAGGCACTGCACTGCTCCTGACGAACATAACGAGGGCCACCAGCCGTCAGCAGAGACGGATGCAAAGCTGCAGTAGCGAGGCATGTAGGGGACCCCGTGCACATCGGGGACCCTGCACGCGTAGGGCATCCTACATATGTAGGGGACCCCATGCATATAGGGGATGCTGCAGAGGAGACCCCACTCACATCCGGAGCCCTGCATGCACGGGGGACCCCGCAGGGGTAGGGAACAGAAGCAGAGGAAGGGGGAGAAACTGCCAGGATGGCGCATGGTACCGCAGCTGGGTGCCAGCGTCCTTGGGGACACGACTCCATGGGGCACCGAGCTCTCCAAAACACAGCTGGGGCACACAGAGGGGCATGAGCCGAGGCTGTCGGCCTCCGAACGCCCAAACCCCGGGTGTGGGGAATTGCTGGCAAGTGGCCGGGACAGCTGAAGTTCCTCTAGTCGCCAGCCCTGAACGAAATCAAACAAGGGCTGGACGGCAGAAAAGCCCTGGCCCCACTGCCGAGGGAGCCATCGCCCTGCCAGGC